AAGTCTCAGTAACTCAAAGGGGTCATTCTACCTTTTTTTCCCCCCACCCTAACCCTAGCTCTAATCCTTGGGGTCATTTCTACCTTATCCCATAGGGTCGCTGCTATGAGTTGGTATTCGACTCAATGGCAGTGAGTTTTGAATAAATGTACATTTTTGTTCCATATGCAAAAAAATTAATAACTCCAAAGCCCATTGTCATCAAGTTGCTTCCAACTCATGGTGACCCCTATAGGACCGTGTCGAACTAACTGCCCCACCGGATTTCTGTAGGCTGTTATCGAAGCAGGCGGTGATCGAAGCAGGCTGCCGCATCTTCTTCCTGCAGAGGGGCTGGTGGGTTCCACCGCCAACCTTCTGGGTAGCAGCCGAGCGCTTACCCACTGCGTACGAGGGGCTGTGACCTTGAACCCAAACGACTACTACACCTTTCAAGTTTGCATACCTAGGCCCCTCGCGCCAGGCGGACGGGACTTTGCATGAGGTCCTCCGCGCCTGCAGGGGGCACAAGTGGTCTCGCTGTCCGCTGAGCAATGCGACGTGGCTCTCCTTCCGGGCGACGCGACTGTACGGTAGAAATGCGCATGCGCAGCCCGGGGGGCGGGCTCCGTGCTGCCTGCGGTGCGGAGCGGAGGAGGGAGCCGGCGGCGAGGGGAGGGACCGAGTGGCCATGCGGGCTGGCCGGAACGCAGGGCCGCCGGGGCCCCTGGTGGTCGCCGTCGTGCTGCTGCTGAGCGGCGTGGCACGGACGCGCGGCTCCGAGGACATCGTGGTGGGCTGCGGGGGCTTCGTCAAGTCGGACGTGGAGATCAACTACTCGCTCATCGAGGTGAGCGCCCGCCCGGCGGCCTGGCCCGCGCGCTGTGTGACCTCGGGCCGGCAGCTCAGCCTCTCTGGGCCGCGGGGACTTCTGCTCCGGCCCCACGTTCGCAGATTGCTCCTCGCGCTCAAGGCGGCGCTCGCTGTCCTCCGCCCGTCACCCTTCCTTCCGTAGCGCCCCCAGAGCGGAGGGTCAGTGCTGGTGGTGCACGGGGTGGGAGGGCTGGCCCCCAGCTTTCGTCAGACCTCGCAGAACGAAGGTACCCCCCCTCCCCGGATCCCAGCGTCTACCAAAGCCAGGCTCCAGGCCAGTGCTTTCCAAAGCGAGCGATGACCACCGCTTTGTGGGGCGATGGAACGATCCAGGGGGCTGCACCAGCAGGTGCCTGCACGTTGTCGTGGGTTATGGGCTGTATAGTAGGCCACGTAAGTTTGGGAACCTGTTCAGAGCTTTTTGAACCGTGGGCCATGACCCCGCATGGTTGTGTGTGTGTGCACTTTGTCGTGGGTTATGGGCTGTATAGTAGGCCACATAAGTTTGGGAACCTGTTCAGAGCTTTTTTAACCATGGGCCATGACCCATATGGTTTTGTGTGTGTGTGTGTGTGTGTGTGTTTGTGTAGGGAGTGGGTGTGTGAGTGTGCTGAAGGCCACGGGAAAAGGTTTCCAAAGTGGGAATGACCAAAATTTAATTCAAAACCAAACGGTGTTGGAAATTTCTTGAGCAAAAAGCAGTTGTGAGTGGCAAGAGTTTCAGAAGCCCCACAGGGATCTCCTAAAACTCAGTACACATGTGCTTGACACAATGGATGGATGGATGGCTTGTGATATGAGTTGTATGAGCCCCCAATGAAATGATAAGAAAAAACAAACAGTGTCTGCAGGACTGAGATGCCAGGGCTCTAGGCCCCAGGTCCTTGGAAAGTCAGATTTCCCTGGAACCAGGCGTCCAGGGACTTGGAGAGAACGTTTTTCCGAACAGCAGCCTCAGCCTGGAATCCCGCAGAGCCGTGTATGCACACAAACTTCTTGTGCTAGTTCCATGACAAAGGCCCTGGTTTCCACTTTCGGAGCTCTGACCCAGTAAGTCTTGTGTTGGAGTCTCCAGGGCTGAGAATCATTATTTCCAACCTGCTCCTCTGGGGCCTCCTTTCCTTCTGAAAATAGGCTTGTCAGCTGCCCGAGTGCCACACTGGGTTGTGGCTGGACAGACCCTGTAGAGCAGAAGCCTTTATTACGTTGTAAAGCCCTGGTTTGTTAGAGGGCTTTTTACTTTTTAAACTTTATTGTGAGTCAGGTGAAAGTTTCCTGAGCCGATCAGCTCCTCATTGACCAGTTTCTACACGTTTTGCTTTGTCCTGCTGGTTGCAGTTGTCACCACGTGGTAGTTGCGTCTTCTGCGCCATCCCAGTCAGCTGGAAAATTGCACGGTGGGAGGGGGTGTTGGTGGAGGTTGGGGTAGGTCAGTTGGCAGGGTGGTGGGATGGGACTTGAGGAGGGTGGGCCCCGTTGGGGAGGCCCGGTGGTGGCTGGAGAGGCTGCGAGCAGTAGAAGTGGAAAAGGACAGGTGTTGGGAGGCATTTCGAAAGAGAATGAAGAGGCTAGGAGAAGACCTGGGAGGAACACCCTGGAAGGTGGTCTCAAAGTGGAGTCAATGAGCTGCAGGGATGAGGCGGGGAACCAGTGGGTTCTGCAGAGCAGGAGGAGGGCTAGAAATAGGTCCCTCGCCCCACTTTCTCTGTGACCTGGCCTTGCCTAAACCCCAGATTTTGTGCCTGTAGGATGGTGAGGGTGTCGAGAGGGAAGCAGTGTACCCTCTAAAGAGAACCAGTGATCATCTTCAAGGCTCCTGCATCCTGTTGCCTGTAAGGGCTCCGGTGTTCCGTGACTCAGAGACGCACTGACAGTAGAGGCGTCCTGAGCATCTGCTGGGCACACTTCGTGCCTTTGCTGCCTCCTGGGCAGGCTGCTGGCCTGGGTCGTAGGGAAGCTGCCTTTTGCAGCTTGTAATTTCCTGGGGGCTCCGGGAGCCAGTTGAAGGCTGGGAGAGCACTGTCTGTCACCCCTCTGCATTCACTGTAGCCCCAAGAACGGAGCAGTTTTGTGACCGGTTGTGATGTGTGTTCCTGGAGTTTCCCCTCCGGCTTCTCTCCTCACTTCTGATGGCGAAATCGGTCGTTTTGTATGTGTGACCTTGATAGAGATTTAGACTGTTGTCCTGGGCTCTGATCTGTACTTCATGAGCGAAATGTAAGTCATCAAGATATTTCACAAGCCCTTTTTTGTTTTCTTTAAAATTTTCATAACGTTTGTGTTTGTGTTTTGTGGATGCTCCATCTGGAAGGTACACACTTCAGTTGATATTGCCAGGACGAGGGAAAGCACAGCTTCTTTTCCATTCTTTCTTGATTGTGTTTTCATTGTGTCCAAATCCGCCTTCATTCTGCTTCAGTCTGCTTCCCCGCTGGACGAGGGCAGATGATTTTGTTCCGTTGTCTACCAGGATGGGGCCCCTGTATTTTCGGTGTCTTGTGTGCAGTGGGGGCCTAGCAGTGCATTGAACAGAACAGACCAGAACCTCTGCCCTCAGGGCACTAACCTTCTGTTTTTTAAGTGGCCTGTATTGTTAAGAAGAAAAACTTTATCAGTTGCCACTGCTTTGAACAGTCAGAAGAATGCATAGGGGAAGAAACAAAGAAAAGAAATGGTTGCTGACTCCTCTTTTGAAAACTCAAAGGCTCTCTGGGCTGTAAAGGCAGCGAGGCTGTAGTCCTGTCTGCCTGCCCTCTAGATGAATGCCCGTTGGCATTGTCTTCTTGGCACCTCTCAGTTGCTGTTGAGTCGATGATGACTTGTGATGGCCTCACGCATGTCAGCCTAGGACTGTCGCTCCACAGCATTTTCAGTAGCTAATTACTCAGACGCAGGTCACCAGGCCTTTCTTCTGAGGCACCTCTGGGTAGATTTGAACGTCCCACCTTTCTTTTCTTTAGGTTAGCAGCTGAGCATGGTGACTGCACACTCCGGCTCCCTGCTTGGCAGACACGTTTTCAGTCCTTCCTTTAAGTGCATGTGTCTGACTTAGGATCTTTAAATAGACTCATCAAGTCTTGCTTGAGAAGCTGCCGTGAAGGAGCCCCTGTCTCAGGCACTCAAGTAGGCGCACCTCCTGGCCCGTGCTTGAATCCCGGCTTTCCCTGTCCTTGACGTCTCCCATTCTGGGCACTGACAGCCCGTGGCCGTCGTTTCCGGGTCACTGCCATAGAGCATTAACACTTCAGGAGCAAGGAGGAGGCCACCAGACCCGGCTGCTTCCTGTCCCATGTGTGGAAAGCCACCTGGAGAGTGGTTCAGCCCTGTAGGCCAATGTAAGAAACTTCCCTCGGACGGGTTGCCTTTTTCTTCAGAGACGTTGTAGCATATTCAGACTCCTCTGCGAGGGGCTCGCCCGTGAACCTGCACAGCCACCGTGATAGGGTGGTGGTGGCTCTCTTTGCACAGGTGAGGAAGTGAAAGCTGAGGAGGTTAGGGACTCGTGCCAGGTCGCACACAGGTAGTATGCGAAGACCTGGATACATGGCCTTGAGCAACCTCTGGGGAAACAGTTAGTATGTGGAAAGGCCCAGGCTGTGCGAGTCTTTGGAACTGGGAGAGGCCAGAGAGGCATCTTGTTCATCTTATTAATAGGCTCTTGTCCTGAGGGTGGGAGTCAGTAGAACATTAAAACTATCTAAACATGAGGACTAGGGGTCCGGGTGGCACCATCGGGAAAGCATCGGGCTGCTGTTTGCCAAGTTAGCCATGCAAGCCCCCAGCTGCTCCACGGTAGAAAGATGAGGTTGTCCCATGCGCTGTCAGATTGACAGTCCCGGGACCCTCTCTGCAGTCCCTGTGAGTGGGAACGTACTTGCTGGCAGTGGGTCCGGGTCAACAAGTGCTACTGATGAATATGGATTTGGAGCCACCAGGAGTCCGGAATGCAGGTTCCTGGCCCTCATCCCAGACCTAGTTGTGCACCCAGGTAGAGCCGGAGTATGCGTTGTAATGAGCACTTTCACGCACAGCAGCAGTAACATGCCCTGTGTCAACCTGGAAACATGAATAAGCAACATCGAGGTAATAACCCACCCTCTGTCAGTGATTCCAACTTGGTGACCCGTCGGAAGACTAGCCCCACTCCCTAGGGATTCTAAGGCTGTAGGGCCTTAGAGGGGTAGACTGTCTCGTTTTTTTCTCCCTCGGCCCTGCTGGTGAGTTTGAACCGCAGATTCTTTAGTGAACAGCCAACTCATAGTTCCCTGTGCCACCTGGGATCCCTAACCCAGAGCCAGCCACTCAGACTGCCAAGAACGGACAAGTAGGACGTTTGGAGTCAGCTTCAGGTGGTTCCTAATCTGAACCTTCTTTCTTTCTGCCCCTAATAGCCAACTGGCACATATGAGGGGCCTCCAGAAAGTTTTTGGGAAAAGACCTTTTTAAAGAAATTAATTCCACTTATCCATGAATTTTTCGAAGCCCCTTCGTGGGCTGCCCTCAGACGCGTGCTGACAGTGAATTTGGACTGCAGACATGGCCTTAACTGGGTGGGCCCTGGCTGACTTTTAGTCTCCTCTTTGTTTCCAGATCAAGTTATACACCAAGCACGGGACTTTGAAATACCAGACTGACTGTGCCCCGAACAACGGCTACTTTATGATCCCCTTGTACGATAAGGTAAGTGGGGAGGGTTGGGCAGGCTTTATTGCTCCTCTTTTTCGATGGCAGGCGGCATGTTCTCTAGGGCTCAGCCACTGGGAGAGTGGCCTTTCCCGTAGGAGCTAGTGGCTCCCGCCGGGTCTCTGGAGTCGGCCCTGTGCAGCGAGAGGCAGCTTACACACTGGTGTGGTCCTTGTGCAAGTCCAGGGACACGGCTGGGTATCACAGCTGGGAGCAGGGTGCCCCGGGCCTCTAGCGGGTAGAGGCTTTAGTAGTATAGCAAGTCAGTTTGTGCCTCTTACTCCCCGGCCCCCCGATTCCCTCTTCTTCTGTGGAGATCGTCTCTGATAGAAGAATGGTGTGCGTCTTAACTGCTTGCTCTGCGTTGAGTGTCAGACCCAAGCCCGCCCTACTGCCATTGAGTTGATTCCAACCAAACACGAGCCCTACACCTGTCTTCCGGGGAGCAGCTTGCGGGTTCGCGTTTAACCGCTGATCTGGGGGTTAACGGCCTGATACATAGATATAGTCCCCAGCACCATTAGGGCACCTACGTAGTTAGATAACCCAGCACACACACACAGCTGCTTGTGCACATGAATATGCACTGCGCTCCCCACCCCCCATGTATATAACTGTCTTCACATTCTACATAAATTGCTTGTTTTTTTTACAAACAGTTTCATTGGCATTTCATTCACATATCACACAGTTCAGTCATATCAACAAGAGTTGTACAATCATTCATTACCACAGTACATTTTAGGACACATTCTCTCCCCCACCTCCATGGTTAAATCCCTTTTAAAATGAGGTGTGTGATCACCGCCAGTTGTAGTGCTCCTTCACCCTTTGTAAATTGCATTTTGAAAAAACATTTTATTTCAAATGAATTTCAGAGTCACAATAAATTGTGGTAGTAGACATCGTTTTTATTCCTCTTTTGTTAGACAAATAGGAATTAGCCTGCAGGGGCAGTGCAATATATAATGTGTCTTCTCTAGCCAAATTCTCTAATTCCCACCCAACAACCTTTCCCTGCATGGGTCTAGGAAGAATGTGGGGGAAGATACGGCTAAGGTTCACCTGTGAGTAATTGTGAACTGGATTCCCATCCTGCTGTGTATCAACTGAGCCCCTTGAGAAGCAGGAGGAGGGATCTCATCACCATCAAGAGTCAGGAGGGGAGCATGTCCCCTGGACCCGAGATCCCTGGCGGTGAACCTCTTGGATCAAGAACACAGCTACACCATCAGAGGAGGAGCAACAGAATGAGGCCCCAGCATGCAGCAGAGTGGTGGACTTCCCGTGGAGCATGCCAAGCCACGTGCTTTTGTGCAGGAGGCTGGCTTGCGGAGTGGGTGCCTCTGGACACTTCATTGGGGAAACTGGGCTGGACACACAGAAGTGGAGCTGAGTACCCTTGGGCTGAGGCTCGCTGGGAGTCGAGTGCCTCTGGACACTTAATTCAGGGAGCTGGACTTGCTGACCCAAAGGGCTTGAGCTGACTTGACTGTCTTTGGCCTGAGGCTTCCAGTGCAGGGGGAGGCCCCGTTGGGCATTTTTAGCAGACCTGACAGAACTTTGTAACATGTCCCATAAACAACTATCCTGGGCGTTTCTCACTGGCACGACAACTTGGTGGCTTCCTTAATAAACCGTTTACTCGTGGCCATTGTCTTTGAATTGTGCAGCTATTGCAGGTGTGAGAACCCAGAGAAGTCAAATAGAACGTTTATGAAGACACCCCAGAGCTCACAGTACGATTTCTCCTCCCATGTGGCATCTTGGCGTGTGTTGAACACCCACGGAGGGATATCACTGGCCTCCTTTCTAATGGCGGTGTAGCACTCCAGAGTCAGGGCAAAACTGCACATGATTTAAACACTTCAGTGTGGCTGCTAACTGCGAGGTCAGCAGCTCAAACCCACCAGCCACTCCATGGGAGAAAGGTGAGGCTCTCTGCTCCTGGAAAGAGTTACAGCCTCCGAAACCCTGCGTCGGGTTGCTGTGAGTCAGAACAGTGCAGTGGCGGTGGGCTTGGGTTTTATTGTGGGAGAGGGAGTTAGTGATGGGCAGAAGGTCCTTTTTGGATTAAAGTGTTTTCCTACAGTGCAACAGTCGTTCTTGGTGAATTTAAGTCTGCATGTGCAGTGCATGGAATTGATTCGAGAGGTGGACTTGCTGGGTCTTGTCGGTTTTTTTGTTTTTTTTAAAACTAAAGACCACTCTCAATCCTGGACGGATGGAGGAGATGGTAGGGTTAGAATACCCATTTGTCAGAAAGCACTGTAGTTCGTGTGTGAAAGACAGGCCATAAACTCCGTTACCAGCGTGTTTGGTGACAAGGACAAACAGTGGCTGCATAAAGCATCTGCTCCCATAAGGGCTTCCGCGTGTGACCCGGGGGCTTCCCCTTTTGCTACAGCTGGAAAGGGGGTCAGTGCTCACCAGCCTTTACAAGGACGGTCGTTGTGGGCGTTTTGCTCCGTGTGCAGACAGTTTACATGTCGCGATGGCATCAGAAGAATTCAAACCAGTTGAAGGGGCACCGATTTTCATGCCTTCCAAGGTCATTTTCTTTGCTTTTCCCTCTTAGGGAGAGTTCATCCTGAAGATTGAGCCTCCCCCAGGCTGGAGCTTTGGTAAGTGAACTGCGTAATCGGGCATGCTCAGTGGAGCTGCCAGGACCTGCCTACTAGGAATTGGAGTTGGCAGAGTGAGGAGGGGGGCATGGCCTCGTGTGGGAAGCTCTGGTGGTTACCCTCCTGATCATTTGAGAGCGGCGTGACTCTCTTCAGCCTTCCGGTTCTTGTTCTTCATGTCTCTCTCTGGCCTGCTTTTGAAGCCTCATTAGGGGACAGCAGACCAGGAGGGAAGGAGGGAGGGGGACCTTTGTTCCCATCCCAGGACTGTTGCTTTCTTAACCACCCCAGTGTTTTTTTCCTTTTTAATTGACTGGACCATGGCATTGATAAAAATAATAGACTTTGACCTGAAATTCTTCTGTTAGGAGACTGGAAGCCCAGGCACCCATGCCCATGGCTGTGTCAGCTGCCGCTTCCTCACCTGTGGGGTCAGGACCGTGATGGCTCCTGCTTCCCAGGGGCTCCCTGGGCCAGTATCTGTAAGCTTTCGGAGTGGCCAGCACAAGAAGGGAGCACACATGGCCCTGCGGCCCCATCCAAACAAAGGCTCACAGCCGCCTGCAGGCAGGTCGCTGTCTGGTCGAGAAGCTGGAGCGGTGAGAATGGGCTGGAGATCCGAAGAGCCTCCAAGCTCCCCCTTCCGTCCCATCCATTCTGCTTGACAGGGACCAGTAGGAGAGGAGAACTGCCCATGGCGTTTCTGAGACTGGATCTTTGCAGAAGCAGACTGCTGCCTTTTTCTCCCATGGAGCAGCTGCTGGGCTCCAACTGCTGGCCTCCCGGTTAGCAGTAGCTGAGTGCTTTAACCACTGTGGCATCTGGGCCCCTTTGAGATTAGAGGGAGGGTCCGGTGTGGTGTGGCTGACGGATCTGAAGGGGACAGATGAGCGTTGGTGTTTCGGCAGAGCAGGTGTTTGCTGGCCCACCTTTATGACTTGGGGAAAGTGTGGGCAGAGGGAGCCACAGTTGTTCAGGTCTGGTCCCCTTCGGAGTTGGGAGAAGGAGGGATTTAGGCCCAGCTGCCATGAAGGGAAACTCGGGCGGCTGAGAGTGGATTTGGCCTTGGGGGAGAGGGCCTTTTCCAGTTTTCAGTCTGCAGGTGTCTCTTGGTGTATTCCCCAAAGCTGTGGGGTGGGAACTTAACCCATCAAACATGCCGCAGTTGTTAAGGGGTCTCCGGCAAAGCAAAAGGTCGGCAGCGTGCAACCCCCAGCAGACTGAGAAAAGACCTGGCCATTTGCTCCCATAAGGGTTTCCACCTGGAATCCCTGCGAGGCAGCTCTGCTCTTGGCTGAGTTCAGTACACTTGAGGCTCCTACCCCAACACCAGTAGCGGTAGGAGTGGGAACCCTGATGGCACCGTGGTCAAGCACTCGGCTGTACAGCTTACCGGCTTGGAAGCCCAGGGGGCAGTTGTGCTCTGTGAGGAGAGGTCCCTGTGAGGCTCACAGGACCTAACAACTGCCGAGGCTCAAGCAGAAGCTACAGGTTGGCAGCCTGCGAGGCCGTGGGGCAGCTGTGTTTGCTTCTGAATGTCCTGTGCTAGGGTTTCGGGGACTGGTTGGTTCCTCACAGCATGCTTACAGAAACGTGCGCTGATTGCAAGTCCAGAACGCGATGAATTTTCACCACGTGAACACAGCAGAGCTTTCCTAAGAGTGCTCCAGTTACCTGCTGACCACTCTGCCCTGCTCCGCTAGCCGGACTTGGAAAGTTCTTGATTAGTTTTCTCTGACTCTCTGTATGAGCAGAAATGCCTCTATTGCAAGGCCTATTCAAGCCTTCGTGCCCATTAGCTATTGGCGTCTTCCTCTGTGCGTGTTCTCACTTTACCTGAAAATGTCTTGATAGTTCCTTTTTTGCCTCCTCTCCTCGGTAATTTCAAACCTTAAAAACCCACAGTGGTGAGGGTGGCGCGGGACTAGGCAGCACTGCGTTCTGTTGGGTCTGGGGGTGCTGTGAGTTAGAGCCAAGCAGGAGGTTCCATGAGGCCTCGGGGGTCTCATCGTCGCTATTGAGATCGTAGGAAACTGCAGAGAGAAGTCCAGGTTTCCGGGGGGCGGGGGCGGGGGGAGCTGGGTCGGGGCTGCCTCTGTCACTGTGTGTGGGTACGTTAGACTTTTGAGCTTATTACCCTAATTTAGCGATGTGCACTCAACCTCCTTGGTCAGGACCCAGGCCGGGGGAGCCAGGCTTCTTGGGTCCAAATTGGGACACTTTTACTCACAAGCTGTGTGATTTGGGAGGTCCTTCCACCTTTGTGTGCCTACAGACATTGCTATCCACGCTCTAAGGTAGTCATGAGCATAAGGTGCACTTACTACGGCAGCTGGTTCATGGTGGGCACTCAGGCAAGAAATCTGTGTCACCCACCGCACTTTCTGTGGTACTTTGGGCTTCTTACCGTGGCTGAAAAATGAAAACAAGGTCTGTCCCTTGTGGCACTGCTTCCCTCTAGGCGTGTGGAGGACAGGGCTGGGAGGGAGACTTTTCCCCGTTCCTTTTTGGACCTTTGCATGAGGATGCATGAGCGTGTATTATTAAGGGTCCACATGTGAAGTGCATGCAAGCTTAGCTGTGAACTGTATCCTACAGCAGTGCTTTCCCTGGGCCCAGAACTCAAGCACTCTCGTGTCCTGCACCCTGCCCCTCTCTGTTTTTCAGAGCCGACGAGCGTGGAACTCTACGTGGATGGTGTTAGTGACATCTGCACAAAGGGAGGGGACATTAACTTCGTGTTCACAGGCTTTTCGGTGAATGGCAAGGTATGCCTTTAGGACTTGCTCTGTCATGTGCAGCCATGTGCTACGCGGGTGTCGTGCACAATGTGTGTCACATGTCTCCCCTGACCTTTACAAAAGGACTTCTCACCCGAGGGCTGCCATTCTATAAGGACCCCCGATAAGCGTCAGGAGGGGCTGTGAATGCTACCCAGTTGTGTGTCGGGCCAGGGGTGCTCTAAAGGTCGAGGGTAGGTGACCGCTCCTTCTCTTCACCCTGCTGCCACACCTCGGGATGGAGAGTAAATACGAGGCATGGACTTGAGCCGCACTCGCCCCTGCACTTGTGGCCTTGCTGCCCTTCCCCTGTGGGCCAAAGCCGGGACGTGGGCAGGGCAGGACAAGGCTCCTGTCCTTGTCAGCCTGCCAGTCCTGGACTCTGCTCTGTGTCCTGCCTTCTGTGCAGCTTTGCCGAGTCTCCCTCGCCATGCCTCCGTTTCCTCCCCTGCAGCATAGGTGCAGGAGTAGCATGTACCCCATCAACCTGTCAGGAGAATTGGGTGGAATAAGGTGTGCAGGGTGCTTCTTATCATGTTCGTAGTGAGCATTAGCAAAACGGTTGTGGCCGACATTAGTATCATAGTGGACCCTGGTTTGTTTATTTGTTTCCATTTTAGGATACCCCCCCCCACATTCCCCATGGCTGAAACCAGGTGTGTCTTAGACCCTTGCAGTCCATGTGGTGACCTGAAGTTGGCTTCTTCCCCAGAGGGTTGTGTTTACTCCGCCCAGGGACACTCTCAAGTATTTCAGTTTCGTCTCCGGTTAGTTTGGGTCCCCAGGGCAGTGTGATTGTAGACGGCCGGCACCTCAGCTCTGCTCCTCAGGGGAGAGCGTTCTCTTGCCCCCCCCCCCCCCCCCCCCCCTCCCCCAGGCTGAAGACGGTCAAGAGCAGACTTCCCGGCCGGCCCTTTTCTCTCGGTGGCTTTCCTCTCCTTTGCCCGGCCTTGAGAAGATGGCTCTTGGGCCTCCCTGCATGATGTGCTGGTTTCTTATGAGCGTCCCCATCTGGGTGTTTGTCTTAATAATCTATAAGCAAAACAAGGCCCTCCGCCTCCCCAAACCAACACCAGCAATAAGACCCACCACCATCAAGTCTGTTTTGATTCCTAAGGACCCTGGGAAGGTTTCCGAGGCCGTAGCTCTTTACGGGAGCAGACGCCTCATCTTTCTCACGTGGAGAGGCTACTGGGTCCAGAGCGTGACCTGGCAGTCAGCAACCCCACGTGTCACCCACTGCCTTCCCAGGGCCCCTGTTGTGCAGCCCTGGTTTGTCTTTAATCGATAGTGTCCTAGACGTGGACTATTACTCTGCTACTTACATTATTCCCCTGTGGCTGCCGTGCAGTCACCCGTGGCTTATGTCCCATTCCAGAACAGGCCGTGGTCCCAGGAAGCGCGCAGACCGGGGATGCGTGGGATCGGCAGGACAGTTGAGAGCGCGCCTGGCCTGCTCGGCCTGGTCCTAACCTTCTTCTCCGCCCCAGGTCCTCAGCAAAGGGCAGCCCCTGGGGCCCGCAGGCGTTCAAGTCTCTCTCAGAAACACAGGCACGGAAGGGAAGATCCAGTCGACAGTGACACAGCCTGGTGGCAAGTGAGTGGCCTCTGTCTCCCTGCCGTGCGTCTGCCATGGGTGGCGAGGTCAGAACTGTGGATTCTGGGAGACAGGGATCCAAATCCGAATTGGTTTCATCGCTTGGGCAAGTCTGTGCTCGGAGTCTCAAGCTCCTCATCTGTAGCGTGGCAGCCTTGTGGGATGGTGACACGCGAGAGAACGCCTGGTGAGCCTTCGCTCACTGTATCAGTGCTTACAGCTGCCAGGCATGCAGGAAGCGCTGAATAGCTGTTATGTCAAAAGCGCTTAGCTCAACTATGATTTTTTATCAAAAAGTTTTAAATTTTGCGTTGAGAGCAGATCACCGGTCCAGACACATTTTGCTCCCGCTCATCCATTGTGATCCCATCAGTGCCTCCACTTGTCCCAGTTCTGTTTCCTGTTTCCAATCCTCCTCCCCTCTCACTACCCCAAGGGCTTCTGCTCTGCTCATGGCAGCCGTACAGGGCACAGCGGGCCTGCCCTGCCAGAGGGTTTCTGGAGCTGTGTGTGCAGATGCAGGCCGCCTCGTCCTTCTCCTGCGGTCTCACTTACAGCTAACAGCTCAACCCATGAGCCACCCAGTGCCTCTTTTATCTCTCTTATGTCAAATGTATTGTAGTTAGTGCTGTGGTGGCTCTTAATGAACGTCGTAGAACCTTGTAATGAGTCTGTCTTTCAGTTCTCTGTTATTTTTGAAATGCCTTTCACTTGGAAATAATAGCTGTTCATATAGTGGTCCCCAGCTGAAAACACATTCGAGTTACGGCAAACTGCACTTAGGATGGTCTGTTTTGTGCTTCTGGTCTTTCAGTCTATGTGATCATTAGTCATAAGTCCTACATACATGATCGTACATAACTGGCTGGTGTTTTGACCATTCTGAGATGCTCACTTAGAGATGTTTAGTATTCTAATTTATAAAGACACTGATTTAAAAAAGAGTACCAATAAGAAAAGATTATATTAAAACAACAACAACAATTTTTTTTTAATTGAGGTGTTTGGCTTATATCTGAACTGACTTAGGGTAGAATCATGAGAACAGGGCCGACTCCACCCTAAGTGAGGGACTGACTGTCCTGTGTAATGCCTTTCTAGACCTTTGTACTCCTGGTCTGGAAAGGAAGGTGAAGTTTTGATTTTCTCCAGGCTAGTTGTTTGCTGTGGACCATGCTCAAGTGAATTTGCTGAATGCAGCCCATTACCTTTGAAGTTCATTTCATAAGCATGAACTCTTAAATTGTCCGATGCTTTGCAAATTTGGAGGGAGCCCGGTGGCACTGTGGTCTGAGTGTTGGGCTGATAACCACAAGGTTGGCAGTTAGAGCCACCTACCGCCCCGTGGGAGAAAGACGAGGCTGGCTGCTCCTACAAAGACCTCCCGCCTGGGAGATGCCATATGGGTCTCTGTGGGCTGGCATTGACTCAATAGCAGGGATGGGTGTGGGGTGTCCTGGTGGTGGTGTAGTCAAGCATTTGGCTGCTGAAAGGTGGGCAGTTCGAACCCTCCAACTGCTCCGTGGAAGAAAGATGGGGCTGTTCTGCTCCTAGAAACTCCGCCCTCAAGGGTCCCTCTGAGTTGTAAGCCGCTTGACAGTAATGGGTTTGGCCTGCACATTTGAAGGGTTAAAGGTCAGGGTCATGGCGCAGCATTTCTAGCCTTCAGTTCATCTCACTCTGGTCTTGCTTTGCCTCTATTGCTAGACAGCCTTCCTCAGCTACTGGCTCCATCACAGGTGGTTTGCAGAGGAACCACAAATGATTTAGAGTGTCTTCTCATGGCGGACGTGCACCCCTTCACGCAGGATTTACCCACGACGCCAGTGCCGTCTTGAGCACTTTGGCCAGTCAGGTCTGCACCCTGTTCACAAGTGGTTGGTCCTTCCCCATTGCTCCTTGGCACGTCCTTGTCCTTGCCTAGTCACACCCATCGTTTCTGTTAAACCCACTCGGATGTCCTAGGACCAATTCCCGCTAAGCTTCAATGACTGGTTTTATGCCAAAAATCTTTCGGAAGGGAATGCAACCACATGTCCTGGCACACAGTATGTGCTCAGGAAATGTGAAGAAATTCGTTCCTGCAGAAACACCTGCTAATGGCACGTTTGTGATACTTCAACGGCCAGTATTCATCTTACAGTTGAAGAACTTGGGTTCTTAGGAAAAGGTTAGAGCGGAGTGGTCAATTCCTCCCTCAACACAAGAACACTTTGTTCTAATAACCCGGCGTACCGTGATGCTCAGCTTCCTGATATGATCGCTGAAGACAAAACGGGTGCATAAGCAAATGTGAAGAAAGCTGATGGTGCCAGCTATCAAAAGATAAAGCATCTTGGGTCTTACAGGCTTGATGATAAACAAACGGCTATCTAGCCGAGAAGCAACAAAGCCCACATGGAAGAAGCACACCAGCCTGTGTGATCAGGAGGTGTCAGTGGGATCAGGTATCAGGTCTCTAAGACCCAGAACAAAAAAAATCACATCGATGTGAATGAGGGGGAGTACAGAGTGGAGACTCAAAGCCCATCTGTAGACAATTGGACATCCCCTTACAGAAGGGTCACAAGGAAGAGACGAGCCAGTCAGGGTGCAGGATAGCACCGATGAGACATACAACCTCCATCTATTTCTTTAATGCGCTCCCCTTCCCGCCCCCCGCCCCCCACTACCATGACCCGAATTCTACCTTACCAATCTGGCTAGACCAGAGCATGAACACGGGCACAGATAGGAACTGGAAACACGGAATCCAGGACAGATAAACCCCTCAGGACCAATAATGAGTAGTGACACCAGGAGGTTAAGGGGAAGGTTGAGGGGAGCGAGGGGAAACTATTTACAACGACCTACATATAACTCCCTCCCTGGGGGACGGACAAGAGAAAAGCTGGTGAAGGGGGACACGAAAAAATAATAATTTATAAATGATCAAGGATTTATGAGGGAGGGCGGATGGGTGGTGATTGTGGTGGTGAGCTGATACCAAGGTCTCAAGTAGAAAGCAAATGTTTTGAGAATGATGATGGCAACAAATGTACAAATGTGCTTGACACAATGGGTGGATGGATGGATTGTGATAAGAGCTGTACGAGTCCCCAATAACATGATAAAAAAGATGAGTGGTATCTTGTATTTCTTAGGTTTGCATTTTTTAAAGTTCTTCCTGGAGATTATGAAATCCTTGCAAGTCATCCGACCTGGGCGCTGAAAGAGGTGAGTGTTTCTGTCAGGCCAGTGACATCCGTACCCTCCGTTTCAGATGGGAAGTCGATAGAGGGCTAGTTTTCTGGTCTCCAGGGCCACCGATGAGTCTGGTGGTGTTTCTAAGGTCCATTCCCTGTGGTAACAGGTGTTATTCCCAATGTTGTTGTCTCTCTGATTTGAACAAGGTCTGGTTTTAACTGTTTTAAGCTAAGGCAAGACCGAAAGGATCCGATGAGATTTTTTTTTTTTTTTAACATTTTATTAGGGGCTCATACAACTGTTATCCCAATCCATACGCACATGAGATTTATTTGTTCTTTTTTTTTAAATCAGAAATAGAATTCTGTAAATATATTAATTATTATAGAAACACTTGCCCAAGGAGATTCTTTAATATGCTTATGCTAGCATAGTTTATAATAGCAAAACCCCGTGACCAACACATGTATCTCTGTAGGAGACAAGGCCCTGTGGTTTTGTCAGACTCACGTTCGGTGTCAGCACTGAAGGAACCAGAGCCACAGAAAGAGAAAGGCAGGTTTCTGAAGGACACTGTAATAAAGTGATCCGAGTGCCCATGGTAAAGCCATGTGTGGAGTACATTCAGATGTAGGCAGATGACCCACTCGGGCCTGGGCTGGCAGGCGCCACGTCTCAGTGAAACCGATGTGTGCTGCAGGAGGAGCGCCCAGGGGCCTGGGCTTCCACAGGGGCCGAGGTTCTTAGATTTCTCTCCCTGCTCTAGCTAGCTGGAGGGTTTTCATTGTGGTCGAGGTGAATGTTGTTTTGTACGTCTTTATTGTGAATTAGGTGGAGGTTTACGTATCAGATCATTTCAACAACTTTACAATTTATCAAACCTCCCAACATATCAAACCCGCTCCCTGCCCTCCCTCCCCCAATTCTTTCCCATCATTCCC